TTGAAGGAAAGAGGCATCAAAGTAGTCCCAGCTCTGTCATAGAAATTAGTACCAGTAAACATGCCATTAACAGATTTTGGCAAATGTCACTGCTGATTAATTCATAAAACTTTAGAAAAATTCTACAAAACCACATAATGCTGTTTATCATTATTTTGGGGTTTTGTCCAAGTTAGTAAACTTTAAGATTATGTGAATTCACATATAAAGTCCGTAGGATAGTATCTGGCATATAGCATGGGCTATGACAGTGCTCGCTAAGTAAGTAAATATTACCTATTTAACAGTGATACGTGGTCTGCACTTTACAGGTTTTACAGTTCTTCAAGGGAGAAGAAATACAGATAAATTTTTAAAACTCAATATTCTGAATTGCCAAATTGAAAAATAGAATTTATAAATATTAAATCATCTTTTAAAATATAGTTACCTTTGCTTTTATTTTGCCTTTTCATTTCAATTTAACTGATGTTATTTTGAAAATAGAAAGCCGATATCAGTGAAAATAGAGACTGGGCATGGATCAGGAGACAAAAAAGGTCAGGTCTGGGAGTATTTGTAAGTCATTTAATGTTCATGTTCCTAAAGAAAAAAAGTGTGTCCCCTAGTATTGAAACTCTGTGTAGGGGCCATGTCTGTCATTTGGATTTTAAATTGCATCCTTTTGGGCACTTGGTCGTATTTGAGATTTGTTCATTCAGCGAATTTATGTAGTGGCTACTGTGTCTCAAGGCCTAGGACGGTTTTGCAATGCTTTTATTATTTGTGAGAAGTTATGTTAAAGGTACTCTTTCAGGATGTGTATGTGTGTGTATAATGCCCTGTAGCTCTTTGAGTCTAGTGAGTCACAGTCATTACATATTATCGTTGTGATTGGTGCTGTAAGGTGAACCAAGGAGACCGTATCTACTCAGGTCTCAGGTGGGCTGCTGAAGTCACCTGGAAGCTAAACTTTGAAGCATGAGAGGGCGTCAGACAGGACAGGTGGGTGGAGTTGAGATGAGGGGAATTGCTTTAGAGGCATTCTGCAGAGATGCAGAGGGAGGTAAGAACTCTGTAGCCTTCAGGGGAAGGATAAAAGCTGTATGTGCCTGGGGGTTTGGTATTGAGGGAGAAGTGACTTCAAAAGTAGCCAGAAGGGTGAGCAGAGGCCAGATAATCCTGAACCAGGCAGGTGATAGTTAAAGGTTTTCCTTTTTTGTCCCAGGAGCATTGGGACACATTTAAAAACACTTTAGAGATTGGAGTGGCAAGATGAGATTGGCCAATTTGCTGAGGAAGTAACCTGAGAGTTTTGGGTTTTCTGTTTGTTTTTTTCCCTTTAAGGGGGATTTGTTTTTTTAAAAATTTTTTTTAATTAATGCATTTATGGGGTACAATGTGCTGATTTCATATAGAATTAGCAACACTTATATCACACTGGTTAATATATCTCATCTCGTTTACTTAGTTATTGTGTTAAGACATTTATACTCTCTGCTAATAGATCCGACATGGACCCTTGCATTATGCACCATAGGTGATTTTTAAATGTTGAATGGGAACTGTGAGATTTAAAAGAGCATTTTCATAAATTAATCTTCCCTGTCTCACATTGAATTATACTATATTTTTATAACTGTACCTTTGTTTGACACAATGTTTATTGATCCTTAAATCTTGAGTCTTATTTAGCTCACTATAAATGTCTCTGCAGTGTGAGTGGACTCGCTGTTTTCGGGCCCCATTGAAGTACATGGTATCTTGGCATTTAGTTTTTTCTTTTTTTTTCTTTAGACAGAGTCTCCCTTTGTCATCCTTGGCAGAGTGCTGTGGCATCATAGCTCACAGCAACCTCAAACTCTTGGGCTCAAGTGATCCTCTTGTCTCAATTTTTCTATTTTTAGTAGAGACAAGGTTTTGCACTTGCTCAAGCTGGTCTTGAGCTCAGGAAATCCACCCACCTTGGCCTCCTAGAGTGCTGGGATTACAGGCGTGAGTTGCCAAGCCCGGCGTATCTTGGCATTTAGTGTTGAGAGTAATTCATTGGTGTTGCTAATATTCATTTAGAAATACCTGGATATGATTGTTATTAGGACATCAGATAACGATGGTGTTTCCCTATAGAACAGTGTGACCTAGTAGCCCTTTTTCCTTCCTAGGCCATCTTACCCTGCCCTGGTGTCTCCCAGGAAATGTACCGTGTGTCTTTGTTTTTGTTTTTCTATTTAGTGTATAATTGATCAAGCAATAGCTTTTATTTTTATGTGTTAAAAATTACATGTCAAGTGAAAAATTAGAAACAATCTAAATGTCAGGTGAATGGATTGTAGAATCTTCATGTATTGGAATACCCGTTAGTAGTTAATCATGAAAAAGGTATTTAAATATGGATAAGTCTCGGAAACCTGTTAGATAAAAATACAAGGTGAAGAATGCTTATGATAAATAACTTAAATGTGCACAAAACTATCATATATTTTACATGGAAAAATATTTAATTAGTAAAACTATAAAATAATCGGGTACAAAGCCATACTAACTTTAAGATGGTGGTAACCTTTGCAAGGGAAAGTGAGGAATAGGATTAGGTTAAAAGGTATATGTATCTCATTTCTGAATAATGAAAAGTATATATATCTCATTTCTGAAATACACCAAAAAAATGGATGTTTATTCTGGGTGGTGGTTGATATATGTGAAATATCAAATAAGTGGAAAAAAGATATCAAATAAGTGTTAAGTAACAGCTGATTAAAAATGGCTTGACTGTAACACGGCTATTATTAACAACCAGTTAAGAGACAGGACATCTTCCGCCTTCTCTTTCAGTGACCCCTGATGATACCAGGGATTCGTGGCTGGTTCCATTTTGTGTGTCAGCATTTTCTGTCATATTTGTAAGGTGGCTGCAGCTGTAAATGCCAAATTTTCACAGGATGTCACCCAAGGTGGGAAGGAGGAAGGGTGAGAACACATCTTACCAGAGAGAAAACACTTCACAAAACGGTCTATTATGTCTCCTTGATCAGAGCATGAGCTGAGTCTGCTCATAGCCTAAGGCAGGCGTCCTCAAACTGCGGCCCGCCTAAGACATTTATCCGGCCTGCTGGGTGTTTTTGCCGCCACTGCCTGTCCTGCTTAGCAGCTGACTCGTCCCAGGGCCCGCAGTCCAGCCCTCCAACAGTCTGAGGGACAGTGAACTGGCCCCCTATTTAAAAAGTTTGAGGACCCCTGGCATAAGGTCTGGAAGATCACACACAGGTGGCTGATTACTACAGTGAAGTGAATGAAGTTACGATGATTTTGTGATGTTTGGGGGTGTGTGTGGCCTTCCTCTTCAGACCAAACTCTGATGCTGTTGTGCTCCTACTGAAATGATCTCTAATACTTAGGCAGAAGGTTTTATAGATGGTTATTATTATTTTTAATAAACCAAAAGAGAGCTGAGAGAATCCTGGCCTTAATCCTTCAGTTTTCCCAGGTGAGGAGGGAGCAGTTGAAGCAGGAGGTGGCACTGCCGACACTGGAATGCCGAGCCCGTGAATAGTGAATGGTCCAGTGCTTTGCTTTCTGTACGTACCTTCCTTTCAAAGACCGGACAGAGTCCCCAGTGTGGTGAATCTCCGGCAGGACCACAGTAAGAACTTTCAGAGAGGGTGAAAGATGTGCTGCAAAAAGTTCTTGAGAAATAGACGTCCTCTGCTCATCCTGTAATAATTAGGTCAACACTTGACTGAAATTAGACTCCTTGCTTGCTCTTGCCTTGATCATTGATGAGAAATGGGTTAGATACAACATTCCATCTGTGAATTGTTCAGTCATTACCAGATTGAAGTGACCTGAGGACCTGGGGGAGCTTTTCAAGCTAGAAAAACCATGTTGATGAATAACCACTTCTCTTTGTGGGATCAAACTGTACTGGCCTTCAAAGCCAAACGAATTCAACTGGAAGTTAAAAAGGACCGTCTACAGTGTAACTCTGCAAGCTGAGTGGTTCTATAGTAAAATTTCTTGCTAAATTCCCTTCATCATTCCCTCTTCTCTTACCGTGGCTAGACTTTTTTTTTTTTTTTTTGAGATCTGGTTGCTGTTTTTAATTATGTATGTAACTCTTTTACAAGAGGAACTTCTACAAATTTTCAGGCTAAATAAATAAAATACTACTGTGGCCCGTTTCATCAGTTAATTATAACGTAAATTGTTATCTGTGTAAAGAGCTTAAAGTACGGCTATATTTTTGCCCTGTGTAATAATTTATCCTACATTATTGCCTGGGGTATATCTTCTATAATGCTAATAAAACTTGTTTTGTAAAGATTGGTGAGGTTTTCGTTAAACTGTTATTAATTTATAAGGCTTAGCCAAAAAAAACCCACTGAAAGGCACAAGTCTTCACTACAAATAAATTGCATGCCAGTGGCAGCTACTAATTCAAAGCAGCCTTTCAATTCTAATAGTTTTTAAGTTCTCTGAATGACAGCTTTATGTTAATTTGTCATCCAAAGAAACGAAACAAGGTTTGTTAAAAGGAGGAAAAAGAGATGGGAGGCAGAAATGTCCTAGATCGCTCTTGGGAAAGAAATGATTTTTAGATCCAGACTTGCAGTTCCCTGTTGCTCCCACTTCCTATGGAAATTTATTGTGACATTTAGGTCATGCCTGAAGAAGGCATCATCTAAGATTTGGTCATATCCCCACTCCGTGCAAGGTGGCTTCCAGATAGCACAGAGTCAGTCTCATCATAGTCAGGTTTGGCTGTTCTCTCTTGGTGGAGAGTGTCTCTCTCCCTGTGCGTTTGTGTTGTCTTGTCTCAAATGTCAATAAACTTCATGGAGTAGATCCTGTATGTTGCCATATTTTCTGGAATGTTTTTAATGACAAAGTTGTTTACTTTTTATTTTTTTATTAAATCATAGCTGTGTACATTAATGCAGTCATGGGGCACAGTGTGCTGCTTTTATATACCATTTGAAATACTTTCATCAAACTGGTTAACATAGCCTTCATGGCATCCTCTTAAAAATATGGAATGCTTCATGAATTTGTGTGTCATCCCTGCGCAGGGGCCATGCTCATCTTCTCGGTATCATTCCGATTTTAGCATATGTGCTGTTGAAGCAAGCACAAAGTTGTTTACTTTTAAGGTAGCAAGATGGAAGAAATTTTATTTCACCACAGCATAATAAACCAATAAAACCAGCTGGACAAACATTTATCGACTGAAGCAGGGTCTAAGGCCAGGCGAGAATCCCAGGATGAAGCTTGATCATGTGTTAAGAGCCTTGTTTCAGTTTAGGGCAGGTATTTTCAAAATGACTTCGGAGACTAGAAAGCAGTGTCAACTAAGGGTCAACTGAAAGCATCTATGTTTTAAAATTTAAGCAATTTGGGTTCTGCCGAGACTCTACGCTTCGAGGCTTTTTCTTGAAGAGGTTGTGGGAGAAGAGCGATTAAAAACATCTCTCTGTTATTCCTGAAAAGAAATTATTTATTCATTCAGCTGATTCACTCTCGCAAAATGTGTGGTGTATTGCCAAACAAGTCTGTAAGGAAAATGAAAATCCCAAACAAATCTGCCAGATATACAGCTGTTAATCTGTTAGCTAATTGGAATATTGACAAATTCAGTAATGTAGTCAAGATTTTTGAGCTCAACTTTAAGAAACTATAATGTCAACCAGAGTTCTATCTTGACACTCAAGGCTGTTATCCATTATGTGAATAATTGCTTTCCAAAATGTGAGGCAAATACAGCCAAGTAAGTAGGAGGACTGGAGAATGTTTTTTTTTCTGTCTTCTAAACAGGACAAACATAATATCAATCCTGTCAATAAATCTATACTAAAATATGATCATTATCTGCGTGGGCTCTGAAAGGCAAGATTTTGGAACAGTATCTGACTTAAAAAAATAGCCCTTTGGTACCTAAAAAAGTTACAATTTAAAGTAGAGTATGTGTCCTGAGATTTCCAGGGAGTATACACATGAACATTTTTTTTAATATGTAAGAGTTAGTAAAAATAGCATGTCAGATTGTCAATGAAATTGCTAGGAACAAGGCAAAACATAGTAATGGAAATAAAAATGGGACAACTTGAAGATATTAAATAAATTAATACAATTAGCACAAGAAGGTGGTAGAAATTAAGGAGGCTTTAAATGAATAATACTTGAAATACTGTTTTGTGAATGTCTTTTAGAAGTGGTATCCTACAAAGATGTACAAAAGTTGAATCTGAAGATTTCGGGTTTCTTTGTCGTTTTAGCCTGGTCTTTATAACCATATAGCCTCTGTTTTTGAACTTATAGTGCTATGCTAACTCATGGAGTTTTGATGTGGACTGTTTCATCAGTACTAAATGTAGCTCAACATTTAGCTGAATTCTAAGACCTCAGTGCGTCTTAATCTATATAGAATAATCCATCAGTGGAACACAGTTTCAATAGTTGGAAGACATTTATCATCTTCCCTGCTTTTCCAAGTCACTTTTGACTGGTTGGCATACAAAATGACAGGCTTCCTAGATGCCTGTGAAATCTTGGTTGCTTCTTTGAATGAGTCTTAGTTTCAAGCCAATCTTCCTAAATGGTGCCCTAACATTGGGAGACCTTTGACCATTTATTTATTCTGAAAATGAGGATAAGAATTTAATGATCACAAACAAGATGAACTAGATGGTGAGTTTGAATTCTTTTGTTAGACAGCATCTCACGTAAACTAATGATCAATAGCATCACCTTAATTTTGCTACATATAATGGTCAAACAATATGGAGTAAAATGGTCTGAGGTTATGGCAGGCCACATCCCGTCTACAGTAGATTGTGCGTTCGTTATATTTGTTTTTACTGGAAGCTCTGTTGGCCTTTGTTGTTTTGTTGTTGGCTGCATCTTACTGACTCATCCACTCTTCCTTGTCCCTAAAATCTCCAAGAAGTTTTCCACGCATATGCCGCTGACTCACACCTTCCCATCCTGTGGGTGCTGGTTTCGGATCCAATTTTAGCTCCCGGGTCTGATCCTCATCCCTGTTCAACTTAGGTTTGTTTATTTTAGTTGGTCATTTCATTCCGTCAACATCTTTTTAGGCACCGCCCTCTGCTTACCTGATTCTTCCTCCTGGCTGAGAATGGCATCAATACGTTTCCCCCCCCCCCCGCCCCCCAAATCATCAGGCATTCTTTGTAATGTGACTTTTACTTCCCTGATCACGAATGTGGTGCACACTCAGTGTGGCAGTCATTGGTCACTTGGGTCAGTTCTGTTGGGGACACTGATGTAGGCTGTTCTCACGCGTCTGACCACTGCCCTGGTAACTAGCTGTTGCTCTCCGACTCCCCACTCTTCCCAGTCTTACCTCTTCCTTGCCCTTCTTGTATTTTCACCTGAGGCCACAGAAACCTCCCTATGGTCTAATTCCTGAAAGTTTAATGGCGCACACAGCAGATGTCCTATAGAACCCTGCTCCATTGCTCTGGCCTCTGTCCATTCTTTACTAGTTTATGTGTTGAATTACATCCCAGGTGTAATGTTAACAATACATGTGAAGTCCAGTCTTTGTGGGGCTCTAACACCTTGTGTTATGTTCTCCTTTAATGACATAGTAGGGAACAAGAAGTATAGTAATTTTTATTTTATATGCACATACAGACTGAATCTTGCTTCTGGAGGACCTTGTATATTTTAGTCTGGAAATGATTTTAATAACTTTGCAGTAGGTTTGGTTAAGCCAAGCTAAGTTGAACAGTTAGTGGGCGTGACAGATACCCACAGCTATATCCAAGGCCCGGTAAAGGGACTTAGCAGATGTGATTGAATTACGGATCTCAAATTGGTTATCCTGGATTATCATAGTTGCCTATCTATTGGTTTCATATTAGTATTGGGCAAGATAGCAGCTGTTGTTCTTCACAGGAGTTACACTGGGAGCTGGCTTGCCGTGGGTTTACCCATCTATTGAGAAGTGGTTGATGCAAAGCCAAGTATACAGGGTGAAGGTCAGGAAGTAAGGATGGATTTACAAATTCAATGACTTTGACAAATATACAATGGCTGGTGGTATCTGCCTTTAGTGCCAGCTCTTTGGGAGATGAGAGACTGGAGTGGGAAGAGCCCTTCATCCTAGGAGTTCAAGTCCAGCCTGCAAAATATAACAAGATGATACTTCTTAAAAAAATATATATGTAACGTTTTATATATATAGGTGACCTCTCCGCAGAGTTAATATATTCAATTAATTTTCATCAGAGATGAATTCTGGAAGGAATAAAACAATAAAGAATAGTTTGGCATTATTTTGTCTGTTTTGAAATTGTTATTTAAATATTGTAAGGCTTTTTAGTCAGTAGAAAAGTCGACAAATGCAAACTGCTCCATGGAGCAATCCCTTCTGATCCAGACACCTGTCCCGAATGCTGCACTGACTTAGCTTCATCTAAACTTCCAGCAAAAATAGTTGAGAGAGATGAACCAAAGGGAATTGACTGAATTGTGCTCTTTTATTGTGCATTATTCTTCTCGAATGTGTGTGTGTGTGTGTGAATCAGTAAGTTATAAGTGGAAGGGGACAAACGGCCTCCCCAGTGCTGGGACCCAAGTCTGGGGACCCTGTGGAGTGGCAGGGCAGCACTAGAGCCCCAGTTCAGAGATGCAGTTTTTTCATAATCTTGCTACTTCTTCACTGTGAGATCTTAATGGAGAGTTTTCATTTTCGTTACTAAAAAGATGGGGAAAGCCCTTGTGAGATCCCAGGATATATATAGAAACTGGAAAGTTCTACACACACATTAACAGTGTAATGACCGTTTTACTTGCCCACCACTCTTTCCTCCTCAGCCACTTTGGGGGTCCAGATGGGATCACAAGATAAAGCGGGCTGATGCAGCCCGAGCTGCCCTGGGTGTGGGGACAGTACTGATGTCATGCTGTCAACACCCCTGTGACAAATGTGGCTTTTTATTCTGATGTGGAATTACTGTCCTATGACGTCCCTCCCTCAAAACTCCTAATGCAGCGTAATCAATGTAAAAGCACTGTTAGTCCCAGAAGAGCTGTTTGTGAGCATAATGGGGATAATGAGACTCGGGTTTTGTTGGAAAGTCGGGCGTTTGGTTGAGTGTACGTCCCATCAAGATGATGGTTTCCAGCATGTGGAGCCCATTAAGCGGGGTTGGAGCTGGATTCCCAGTTTAATGTGCTAACACTGCGTCTGTTTCTACCCTGATGATAACACCTGCATCAGTTTAGAACTGATGCAGAAGTTTAAGATGTGGTGTAGTTAATTTCTAAAACAACTGTTGATCTTTTGATGTGTGAACCTCGTGGTTTTTGGCATTCCAGATGAATCCATTGCCACTGGACCAGGCTTATACCTGTGTGGGCTTTCATAATGGGAAATAAGACACATGCGATATCCCCTTGACGGGCTTCCTTTGATGCTTTATCAGGGTGTCAGTGATGAAGTTGGTTTTGTTTTAATTTTGATTTTTTTTGGGGGGGGAGTTGAGTGGGAAGATGTCTTGTTGTACTTCTGTGAATTTTATCAACTGTTCATCTCAAATGAATCGTTGAGGGACGACTTTCCTTCCTGCCTATGAAAACACATGCATACTCTCGGTCTGCGCCTTTTATGATGCCATAAGTAAGTCACTGATTCCTCTTGGGAGCTGTGAAGTGGATGGGCATTAAAAATTAAAGAAAGGCGATTCTGTTACTGGGTCTGCGCTCCTTATCTCTGTGGCTAGCTAAAAGCAAAGTGCCAGTTCAGTGGAGCTTTGAAAAATGACTTTTCCAAATGACCTGCTGCCTTTTAAAGACCGCAGAGTTTGGAGTTCATTTTTAAAGTAGTAAATGCCCTTGGAGAGTTGTAGTATAGTTTTATTCCCATTAGAAAGATTGAACTTCTCCCCAGGATGCCCTCAGAAAGGAAACCATTAGGAGATAGGACCAATATAGCATTTGAGTATCCTGTTTTCCTCCCCAAGGCAACTTTTAATATTTTTTCAGAATCCATCTACTGAAAATCTATCTACTCTAAGTGGAAGGACCATGGCAGAGGGCCTGACATCACCTTTTTTCATAGGGCGATCCCATTTCTGATCTTAAAATTTGGGGCCATATACCAAC